TATTTATTTGTGTTTTTACCAATCTATATTTTTACTAGGGCAAAAATGCAATTTAGTCACATTAGCCAAAATACTAGTTCTGTTTTATCAAAACTTCTAAATGTCTGCGGGGATCTTGACGCAAAAACCCACAAATTGGAAGTCAATCTCTTACACCTGACACCACTAACTAACTAACTATCTATGATCAGTGGCTTGTTCAGATTTTAATAATTAGATTGTTTAATCCAACCAAACTAGTTTTGATCAACTAGATTGGTTGTAAAAAAACCACCAATCTATTCTTAGAATATATCCAAACTCTATCCACCTCTCCTACAAACCCCCACCATCCTGACTAAGTACTGAGGCTGTTTAAATGCCTGCCAAAGTTTGGCAGGTAGCGAGGCTTCGGACGTCATCTATTTCGGCTCCTCCCCCAAATGAAGCAAGCCTCGATACGTGCCGTGCGGAAACACCCTCTCCAGTACTCGACATACACCTCGAAGCATCGGCTCATCTCACAAAATCACTAGTTAGAAGGAAGATCTTTAGCTCTGGACCTGAAGTGTGATCCTTGCTTCAGGGTTGAAACGTCTCCTCAGGTTGTGATCCTTCTCGTCTGTTTCAGGTGGTCCACCCTGTTGGAGGATTATGCAGCATGAGTCTGCAGGGCCCTCGCCAGTGTTTCTGCTCTGTGAAGGAAGAGCCTCCCTGAAGCCACTAGAAGCTTCCAGCCATCAGAACTTCGCAGAGACACTTCCCACAGAGATGAGCGTGAGGATCTTCAGAGAGCTCGATGTGGAGAGTCTCTGCAGGGCCTCCAGGACATGCAAGCTGTGGCACTCCATCATCAGTCAGAGCGAGCAGCTGTGGAGGCAGCAGTGCCTGCTGGTCCGGGCGGTCTGTCAGCGCGAGGTGGACAGCGACCGGAGAGATGGGCTCTCCTGGAAGGTGGGTCTCTGCTGCGCCGCACTCTCATCTAAATCTGGGTTCTAGTTTAAAGTCATTTGGGTCTAATTTCTTTAGGTTTTTTGATACATTTTGATCGATAATATGGAGTAAATTTTGTTCCATTATTGTTGAAAACAGCGGGTTTTAGAGATGAAAATTTGAAGAAAAATAAAATGCTATCCAGAAATTATGAAAAATGTTTTAATTAACAAAAAACTTTTGAGAGCAACTTAGCAGTATTCTCAGTTTGTTTTCTTTATAAATTTTTTCCACCTTTTTTATTATTTACTTTTTTCACTTTTAATCTTTTTTTTTCTTTACAAATTTTATATTCTTTTTTTTTTTTTCTTCAAATGTCTGTTTTTCAGATTAATTTTATGAATTGTTTTTAAATGGCAATTCATTTCTGGGGGCGGTGCTTTCCTCTGCAGTGAGGAGCAAAGATGCATTTCTATTGGCCTGCATCAACGTTAGCAGCAGGATTTTTATTAGTCAAGAGCAAACGTTTGTATTCGGTCAAAAATGTGATCTGTGGAAAATAAAGTCAATCGGAAAAAGAGAAATTTGAAGAAAAAAAATTGTAAATATTACAACTGTAACCAAAAAGGTAAAACTTTATTTAATTCAGTTCATTTATTTATCACCAATTCAACACATCATCTCAAGACACTTTACAGAAACAATGCAACCACATCATACAGTCAGATTGGTTCAAAGTTTTCTATCTAAGGGAAACCTGCTGATTGCCTTGACTCATTGACTTAACAGCAATCCCTCACACTAAGCATGCTTGTAGC